CAGGCGATATACACACATTAACACTATGGAACTAAATAAACACGTTTGACGTAAACACACCAACAAATACGAAATAAATAAATCCTAGAACATACGAAATATATATTTTTCTTAGGGGCCTTATAAACAAAGCTCGAACGGTGAAAATAAACTCACGAAAATAGTTGGTAGTTTATGCACCAAAAACTAATGACAAATTAATATAATCTAGTTTCAGTTAAGTCGCATTACTGGTGTTTTACTCTTTTTTCTCTATTGCAGAAATTTCGGTTAAAGAAAAAATAATAATTCTCCTATCTGTGTGCCATTCATGCTACCAGTCATGTCAACAAGTCGGTGTGCTTCCCGTGTGACCTCTCCCTCCCTCCTCACCCCACACGTCACTAACCAGCACAGGATAACGTCACCACGCGTATGTGTGTGTGATACAATGATAACGATACACAAACACTACTCGGAATATACATGTATCATTATAATACGTCAGCCTATATATTGAAAAACCCACATTTAAAAATTACCCTCACACACAAATTATACTTGTACACTCCCCATGAAGGCCCCACCGTGACCTGTGGACTATATGAAGGTTGCGCACGTCTGATGTGGAAAATAAATAAATAAATAAACTGCTCATTAAAGGCACGTCTACTTTTTTTCATCGCAGTAGCAAACACTTTATTGGTAATAAAGGTGAACAACAATTAAGGCTCATGAGAAAAAAAGTAATCCTCGGACGAAAAGCATCCATCAATCAGGTCAGCAATGATGGATTTGGGATGAGTAAACGCAACCAAGACTTCCATCCTCGCTAACAATACAATGCCTAGTGTCGAATAAAGGCAATGTTTAAAGGCGTAGAAATAACCCACTTCATCACCACATCTGTCACGAACACTCCTGAGAGGCAAGATCTTCAAACATAATATAAGGCACATTTCTCTCCTCAAGACACACATGATATTACGTATTTAAGTCACAGTGTTTTCTTGGTAAGAGCTTCAAGTGGGGTAAAACAAACTCAGTTGGGAGGGAGGTATTTATCTATCCAACCTTGGGCGCTCCTCTTGACTTCTCGCCACGTAAACATCCTAAAATCTTTACTCCTCGGCCCATCCATCCAAACCCTCCTACTTGGTCGACGACGTTATCATCATCAACAACTCATACCCTCCGTCACACTCTGGTCACACCGGGTATACCCAACTGGAAAAATTAACTGCAAATATTTATAAAGCCACCCAGAGCCTGATCCTTGCTCACCGTGGCTCTTGTTATCTTCGCTGCATTGTCCATCTATTCTATACGTTAATATTGTTTCCTAATTACGTGATTTAAGTACGAGGGATATTCGTTATAAAAGCCTTTGAAAATCAAAACCAGGACAATTTATAAACAAAATAAAAATAAGGCCCAACCTAATGATTAGGCACCCCAACTTATTTGACCTGAGGATTAACCACCCCAATAAGACCTGGGGGGGGGGGGGTAAGTTAAGGTTAGTGTTACAGTAGTTACTCTTCAGGTGAAGTAAGATGACGTGTCCAATCTTAAGGTGATCCAAAATAAGTAGCACCAATAGCCGTGATGGGTACAGTAAGTCTGTGACGAAGATATTTATGGTTGACATTAATACTATACGACAGTGTGTTGTGGAATTCCTACATCACAAGCTAGACCAGGTACACCAGGCCCACTCGTCCCCACCTCCTGCCCCTCCTACGCGTCGAGGGGCTCTCATTTTAGCTTTACCCACAAACTCTGCTAAAAAAAACGTGCTCTCCCAAAATATAATTTGGCTTGAAGTATTACCAGGTAGAGGAGCGTGTGTACCCTGGGGTGAGACCAGCCAGCAGCCACACTGGTAAACAAAATAACAACCGCGAGCCAGCTGGCCCTAAGATGGTGGCCCACGCTTCCTAGGAGCATTGGCAAGGTGGTAGAGGGAAGTGGTGGTAATACAACTGGTGAAGGTGTTAGATGGGTTGGTGGTATATAGTGACAGGAGAGGGTGGTCGTTGTGGTGAAGGTGGTGGTGGAGGCTAAGGATGATAGTGGAGGCATTGAGTGCTGGTGGTGGAGGAGGCTCAGTGTGGGTGTAATGGTGGGGTCCAAAGTATAAACACCTTGTCCTCAACGTACCCAATGTGTAGTAATGATACACAGCATAAAATCAACAAACACTGTCATTTGTATACATCATTTCAAATCAGAGTAAGACGAAACATGAGAGAGAGAGAGAGAGAGAGAGAGAGAGAGAGAGAGAGAGAGAGAGAGAGAGAGAATCATGTCTAATCCCTTTTACCTTCACTCCATCCTCCTCTTCATCCCTCTCAGCCTACTTAGCATCTCCCCCATCTCCCTCCGTTCACTGCTTATCCTCCATCACTTTTCTCCATCTCCTCAATAAATGTCCTCCCTCTTCACCTATATCCTCCAGCTCTTCCTTCTCCCCACTCTCCATAACACCTCACCTCGCCACTTCACCAATCTCCCACCCTTAATCTCTCCTCTCTTCTCTTCTACCCCTTTTTTCTCCCTCATGGATTCTGCTCCTTCTCCCCATTTCCCCTACCTGATTACTCCTCCCTCCTCCTTGATCCTTCCCTCACTCCTGTTTCCCACCACACCCCCTTCCCTACTTTTTTCTCACTCACTCCCACCCTTCCCCTCCCTCCCCTCTTCCCCTACCTCCCCTCTCCGTCAGCCGTTGCCAACGTAAACATTCCGTCTCCGCCGTCCACGGGAACAGTGGTCAACAAATGAAACTGCTAAACATCTTCACCTGTCTCTCTCTCACCTGTGTCCGACCCTACGCCCTGACCTGTGAGGTTTGACTTACACTCTTACCTGTGACTTGACCTACATTCTTTCTTGTGTGTGTGTGTGTGTGTGTGTGTGTGTGTGTTTACAGGTTGCAGCCAGACAGATAGTGTCACAGCTATTCCTAGTGACCCCACCCTCTCCCCCTCAGCCACACTCCCCGCCCCTCACATTATATCACAATTATTTTTATTCTCGCCTAAATTGCCGTCGTTCTGCTAACTAGATGTTGTCGGAGTTATTCCTTCAATAATGGTGTTGTGGTGGTGACATGTTGTATTAATGGTAACACGGTGTTGTGGTGGTGACATGTTGTATTAGTGGTAACATGGTGTTGTGGTGGTGACATGTTGTATTAGTGGTAACATGGTGTTGTGGTGGTGACATGTTGTATTAGTGGTAACATGGTGTTGTGGTGGTGACATGTTGTATTAGTGGTAACATGGTGTTGTGATGGTTTCATGGTGCTGTAATGATGCATACTGTTGAGACCTCTCCAGCGATACTTTCAGTAATCTCAAGTAAGATATAATTAAGTGTTACAATTTCATAAACTTTGTGATACTGTCCTCAGAAATATCTAAGACATTATTGATTGATATTGCATTGGTCGTTATAATCCAGGCCTAATTACCTATTTGAGTTCTTGAAGACTAAACATTTTTGGTGATCTGTGAAAATGAAATGCAGTGTCTTATAAATAAATGAGAACCTAGCCACAAAACCCAATTTTTTTTTGTCCAAGAATAAAGCTGAGAATCTTTAAAATGTGGAACAAATGTAACAATTCTTTAGGGAAATTATAAAGCCTTTTATCCATTCAAAGGGATAAGTAGATACAACACTTGCCTGCTGTGTTAATGGTCTATGGTTCAATCTTGGGCACCCCTCCCCCAATCCATCCAGCTGTAAATGTGTACAGTACAGTACTTAATTTTATAGCTGCAGAAGTGAAATAAGCCAAGTGTAGCACTTCTTCACTCCTTGTGTACTAAAGGTTTAGTATCTTTACGATGTACTGTACCATATCCACACCAGAGACACCATCCCTAGTGGATCTACTGGACCCACATACACGTTTTACCCATTCAACTGGTCAAAAACACACAACCATACTCCAACTTTACACCCTTGTTGCCTCACTCACGCTAAATGAAACAAACGGTTAGTACTAAGCTGTCAAGTGGGGAAGAAGATAAAGTGAATTAATCAAAAACCGTCACACTGCTTGAGCATTTCATTTTATTATTATTTTTCTTTTTTTTTTACAGTTAATACACTGGTGTCGGGCTTAAATGTTCATTATTTTTCAACCTTCGCAAACACTTACTGTGTGTAACCTCTCATTTTCCAGGGGCAAACTAGCTAACAGTTTCTTAAGCTCAAAGATCTCAGTTACCAAACACCCTTCGCATATTTGTTCTATTTTTCATCACCTTCCTGCCTTCCATTAAACTACTGTAAATCCTATTTACCAAACTATTAATCACCATATGATGCAAATTTCAAAACTCAATATTGTACAGTATATTTTGCCCCCATAAAATAGAGGCATTAGGTACTGTATCCCATAAACGGAAACCTTTCCTTTTAAACCATTTTCAAGTTTTATTCATTCTCCAAATCATCAAAATGCTCTGAACTTTAAATTACAGGTTTATAGTAAACTTTGTTTTAAGCGGATGTAAAACAATTTACTGTACAGTTGTTACTGCCCTAATTTTGTGGGCGACGTTTTCTCTCTTCACTCCAAGTGAAAGAAAACGTGTTCAAACGTACACCTAACTATGATAATCATGTTTTCATTGCTGCCTTATTATATGTGTGTGTGTGTGTGTGTGTGTGTGTGTATATATATATATATATATATATATATATATATATATATATATATATATATATATATATATATATATATATATATATATATATATATATATATACACACACACACACACACACACACACACACAATTGCAGGGTCACAATTGTTTCTCTTACTATTGACAACACAACATACATACAGTATATTGTTTCTCACTTTTGACCTTTTTTTTATTTATTGCATTTCTTTGTAGTTCTTTTTTATTATTATTATTATTATTATTATTATTATTATTATTATTATTATTATTATTATTATTATTATTATTATTATTATTACATTTTCGCCCCCTAGGCCCCGATGTAGGTCAGTGACATGTGCCCGGGTGGGCTAATCCCATTTAAAAAAAAAAGTAGCAAAATAAATCTTCAATAATTGGTTACAACATTAAACAATCATTACTCTGTATATTATTTCATTGTCAATACAGATGGTTATTTGACACACTTGACAATATCCCAAATTAACATATTATTTATAACATCATGTTATTTCGGAACGAACAACATGGCACTTTTACTAGAACTCAGTTGGTAGTACATATGAATGATGTACTCACAACCCACATAACATAAGTTATTACTGGTAATATCAATATTTATGGGTTCACTACTCAACATGGGATAGCTATATTTCTGCTAGTTATCCCAAACCATGTACAACAATAATGGGTAGGACTCAGTTGGTAGTACATATGAATGATGTACTCACAACCCACATAACAAACGTCATTACTGGTAATATCAATATTTATGGTTCACTACTCAACATGGGACAACTATATTTCTGCTAGTTATTCCAAATCAGGTACAACAATAATACTTTGGCCCATAAAACTGCGAGGGGTACACCAGGGTGTCACACTGGTGACACACCAACAAATGAAGAGCGCGGTTAGGTCGGTTGCAGTCCGACGCATGCCAGAGAGTTCATCTCAAGGATGTTAGTTCCCAGGGCGCGCAATTCCTTGGCTTTAATCGGGCTGAATTAAAGACATCCTGTAATGACAGCCAGCTGGTATGCCGCTACTGGTCCCCCGGTAGCTGCTGGGTATTCAGCATACACCCAATCTATGCCTGAGAAATGCGAGGAGCAGCGTCAAGAGATGTGACACAAAAATAACTCAATCACAAACAATCTTTTGTTTGGCAATGACAGACAATATTTACATTACGTTAATTCTTTCACTGGGTACATGATAATTTCACTGTTACAACATGAACACTGATATTCACAAAATTCAACTGAGTTAAACTGACTTAATAAGGAGGGCGTAAGAAACTTACCTGAGAAATGCGAGGAACCGCGTCAGAGATGTGACGCTGTTCCTCGCACACACATTTATATATGGCTAACTGGCAACTCGGGCATGTGCCAGACATGCCAGAAAGGCTAAGTACGCAAGACAGAAATTACATTTAAATCAGCTGTTGTACATTTAACTTTGAAAATTAGTGCCATGGGTCAGGTGAATTTCTTTTGTCTATATTTATAATCTAATCAGAGATTGAGCTTGCCAAGAAAAGGCGAAATGGACATCAAATACACATGTTAACAACACTACTTTTACAGGCTCAGCAAAACTACACACAAGGGCCCTCTATGGGTAAACAGTGTACATTTAGATTAATAACTTTCAAACTAGCTAACTCACTCTAATTAAACTACAGTACACTGATGTTTGGGCATTAAAATTATCTATAATTTCAGTAGTATGCTATAGCGAATCTAATTGGTTCTAGAACCTTGTTCGTTATAGCATTCGTTCATTATAGGATTAATCCGTTCCAGGCCCTCAAATACAACCACTTAACACTGAAAAATATAATATAAAATTGTAAAAATTGTAAAAAACTGCATAAATATGCATCTAAACCCCTGAAATAAAGAATATCATTAATACTTGTAATAAAAAAACAATAAATTAGTATAAAAAAAAATCGTTGTAGGAGTTTCGTTCGTTATAGCATTCTCAATTTTATAGGTAAAACCGTTCGTTATAGGAATATTCGTAGTAGAATCCATTCGTTATAGCATACCCCACAGACGATATTAGGAGATGCCATTCTTGCTGGCAGACTCAACACTCACTTATTTGACAAGTTTTACTGACAATCAAGACAGTTGAAGCTTTCAACATCACTCACAAAGCATCTTGAATGTTTCATCTGTAATCAGGCCAGTGGTGGGCACAGTTCCGCTAATCCGCTAACCACTAATTAGCGAAGCTAACATTCTCGTTAGCGGATTAGCGTTTTCGCTAACTTTGGAAACCATTAACGGACCAATTACCTTCTGCTAAATCTAGTTCCACTAACTTTAAGTCGGATAACAAAATTTATACATGGTTGTTCCTGTCTGTTGTAAGCGTGTGACGCCGTGACGCGTGTCTCCAACAGCCAGTCAGGCACGCTTGGCTGACTGCGTGTTAGTACAGGTTGACAACCCTTTATCCGAAATTCCAAAAACCGAAAGTTTTTTTTTGTGGAGCCATTTATTTTTTTTTTTTTTTGGTAATAGCTCACCTGGGCACAGGCCACTGACCCACATCGGGGCCTGGGGGGTGAAAATGTAATAGTAATAATAATTATAATAATTATAATAATAATGATAATACAGTAATAATAATAATTATTCATAGTAAATAAAATTTTTAATAAAAAATACACAAAAATAAAATAACAATAATAATAATAACAATAATACTGCAATAATAAAATAATAATAATAATAATAATAATAATAATAAAGAAATACAGTGGGGTATGCTATAACGAACGGATCCTACTGTACTACGAATATTCCTATAACGAACGGTTTTACCTATAAAATTGAGAATGCTATAACGAACGAAACTCCTACAACGAACATAATTTAATTTTTTTTTCTTCTAATTTATTGTTTTATTATTACAAATATTAATGATATTCTTTATTTCAGGGGTTTAGATGCATATTTATGCACTTTTTTACAATTTTTACAATTTTAAATTATATTTTTCAGTGTTAAGTGGTTGTATTTGGGGGCCTGGAACGGATTAATCCTATAACAAACGATTGCTATAACGAACAAGGTTCTAGAACCAATTAGATTCGTTATAGCATACCCCACTACAAGAATGAAAAAAGATCAAAAGTGAGAAACACAACCTAGACCTATGAATTATTAATACAGTATTATTATTATTATTATTATTATGATTATAATTATTACTGTAGTAGTATTATTATATTTTAGCCCCCAGGCCCCAATGTGGGTCAGTGACCTGTGCTCGGGTGGGCTGATCCCTGTGTGCATAAAAAAAAAAAAACCCTAACCATTCTGAAAACCGAAAAATTCCAAAAACCGAAATGCATCTGGTCCCAAGGATTTCGGATAAGGGATTGTCAACCTGTACGTGTAAACGTTTAATTTCATTTGTTCATTTAATTATTTGTGTACACCTTGATCATCATCTGATCTTGGCATGCTATATATTTTTGGAAAGCTCTATGTCTAAGCTACAAGACAACATATGAAAATTACAGCTCTCTAGGTCTGTTTTTAAGGGTTTTAGAGCCCCCCCTCCCCCCAAAAAAACGAAGCTAAATTCATATAATAAAAGTTAGCGGTTAGCATTAGCTTCCGCTAATTTTTTTAGCTGTTTAGCGGTTTAGCGTTAATGAAGTACACTTTTTAGTTAGCAGATTAGCGAAGCTAACTTTTCGTTTAGCTGTGCCCACCACTGAATCAGACATATCTAAGTTGACTCAAAACAATGGTGTTCTCACACTCATTCAAATTTACTTTATAGAGAGGTTGGTTTTAGGAAATTAGAGAAATTGGATGGCACCCTAGCTAGGGAAAACAATTTATTCCTAGGGATAACTCGCCAGTTATCCACATGGTTTGGTTGGGCTAGGTTGGTTAGGTCAGGTTGTTTTGTTAGTTTCTGTGCATTGTCATATGGTCTTTTATTATTTACTATTATCCAAACAGCATCTGAGGAAAAAAAAATTAAATTGAACAATTGCTTCTGGTGTTAGCCATCTCTTCCAACATTACCATAACTATTGTACTTAAGTACAGTACATGTACTGTACTGGCACATACCTCAGTATAGTATGGAAGTGTTCCCATAAGGCTCTCATCAAACCGAGATCATTACCACTTGCACCATACTACCTCATAGTATATTACTTAAAGGAAGGAAACCACTATATTGTATAATTCTCACATCAAAAAACTTGGACGTCACAAGTCAAATGCTATCAGCTGTGCAGTACTAAAAACTGAAGCCAAAACAACCCAAGGACTAGGTTACCCTGGGAAAAAGTAAAATGCCACATATTTAACCAAACCTTACTTCAATCTAAACTTAGAAAACTAACTGTACTAATACTGTAGGTGTCAGGGAATTGTGACTCTACATTGTCAGCCATTCCACCGAGTGGGTTGGCATTAGGAAGGGCATCTCGTCATAATATACTGTACTTTGCTCTACCATGCCTGATGGCAATCCAGTCACTAGAGCTGTGCCCATCCTCTGGTCTTTGCTGCATAGGGCTGCTGCCCTGGTTAGCAGACCCCCAATAGCTGCCATCAGGTAATTTTGGTTAACCCATGCAAGCATGGGAAATCCCCATAACTCATATGTAATGATATGTACTATATTATCACAAACAAAAGATCCCATCTGACATCAGACACTTGATATACATTTCAAAATGGCCATAAAACATTGATGATGATGATGATGACGACAACGACGATGATGATGATGATGATGATGATGATGATGATGATAAATATTACCAACAAAATCAAGTTACTGTAAAAAAAATATATATATATATACCTGTATACTGTATGGTTAACTTGCAAGAGTAACAAAAATAAACTTGGAACAAATCAATGAGAGCAATTTAAAGAATACAGAAAACATCTCCTTATTCAAAGCCTCCATTGTGCTTTACCTGGGTATGATGCCTTGGAGCACACAGTACCCATAATGTGAGTCATGCCAGTGGGTAATAACACTCAAGGCTCATTAAAAGTTTCCCAAACTTACAGGTAATCAGGTTGAAGAACTAATTTCTCAAAACGAAAGACAACCTAAAGTTAGTGGAAGAAGGCATACGATATAATAGACACACATTACTTAAGAATCCAAGAACATCAAACAAAAAACTACAGTATATACCAATCTTTCATAACCATCAAACGCAGACCACGAAAACATAAAGAAAATTACTATCTCTGTATACTTTGATGTACTGTATAGTAAATACTGTACTGTACTGTAATACAGTACCTAATACTGTATTAAATTAAGAGTTATTCATTAGACTGCAAAACCAGCATTTACCTTTTATTTGAAGCAGAGGAATATTTGTCCAAAGCTCCAAGGTGGTTGATGGGCCTTGACCTCACTGGCAAGGGATTCCTGCTGTCTGTTGCTCTCTGCTTCTCTGTTTTCCTTTTACTGACACTGACTACACTCTGGATTTCACCCTTGCGCCCTCCACTAGCATTCCTTTGCAAATTAATATCTTTATTTTGCATGTGCTTGGTTTCTCCAGTAAAGTGAGGTCTCTGACGGACGTGTAAGCTTCCATGCTTCACTGAAATCACTTGAGGAATCTCTGGTGAAAGTGGAGCATCTTTTAAGCTGTCAGATGTTGAAGTTTCTTGACTTTTCTTATCAAAGATAGCTTCAGAAAAAATACCTAGCTCACCATTATCATTTACAGTGTCTGAGGTACTTATTTCACTAGTTTCTACACTAACACTTGACTCAATAAAATCTTTTATACCACGAACAGCAACAGAATTTGTATCTACACTGATTTGATCTTTTCCATCACTTGAACTTAATTCTTCTGAACCTGACAGCAAATGTGAGTTTTCTGAAAAGTTGTGCACTGCAGTATTGCTGTCCCATGAAATACTATTACTATTATCAGTAGAGTCAGGATCAATTTCATTTTTCAATCCCTTAGACACAAGGACATAATGTGGAGGACCAGTGAGAAGGGTTTCATTGTAATATTTTTTTTCCTCTGCACTTGGCATTAAAGTGTGTAACTGTCTTAAAGACGTGGAATCCCGAGTTGAATCCATATAGTCCCTGGGATTATATTTTCTGCCCATTTCAACATCATTATCAATACTAAAGGTCACAGTTTTGGCAGCCTTTCTCAATTTATGGTCTGATGCATAGTTTTTTGACCTGTAAAATTTTGGTTTAGACTCTTTTGTGCTTGGTTTTCCCTTTGTATGACTAATTTCATTACCAGTTTTATATTCTGGGGGTAAGACTTGAGGCAGAGGGCATCCCGGTAAAAACACTGGCTTTGGCTCTTGATCTGTAGTTGGTTTGTGTGATGGAATTCTCCTCTCAGCTACCACAACACCCACTGGGTGTCGTGCAGTGAGAGAAGCTACATCATTGCTTTCAACAGTGATGATTTCCACCTATAAAACAAACAAAAAATATATGTTATTTTTAAATAATGACAATAATGAAAATACATGAGTACAGTTTCAAACAAAGATCATATATATATATATATATATATATATTTTTTTTTATACTGTATACTGTACAGTACAGGGTATATCCTCAATGTACATTAATCCCTCGGTTAACGAGCGCCTCGGTTAACTAGATTTCGGTTAACGAGTTACCTTCCATAAGAATCTTAACTTCGGTTAACGAGCAATCCCTCGATTAACGAGTTTTTTACGAGCCGACCTCAACATGTTTTCGCTTGCATTTGGCGGTCCACCAGCAGTAGTATTAGTCCGCCAATACAGTAATCGGTTTTAGGGCTTAAATTCCTAACTATTTTAGTAAATACAAGTTGTACCTCTCTAGTCCGGCAACCTCGGGACCTGACCGGTGCCGGACCATGGAAATTGCCGGACCATGGAAATTCACCCTTTTCCTGGATAGATAGTGACTTATGCTTGGAAGCACTAGCACCACTTTCTCTGCGTCATGGTCTCTTTGAAGACATATTGAAGGGTTAAATGTCGTATAGTAGCTTCTCAAATTTCGCGAGTTTTTAATTCTTAACGTATTTTATTGGAACACAAAAATAAATAAATAAATAAAAATTTTGACGGCAGAAACTTGAATTTCGACGGGTTTGAACGGCCCGCCAACGTGCAGGCGACGTGCATAATCGTGTAAACAGCCTCATTTCTCTTATGTACAAAAGATTCATTATTGTTTATTACTGAATGTCTTTTTATTGAATTAATGTTTATGTGTGCAAAAGGAGCAATACAATTCATTAATAATACGTAGAATACTAAAACACACGAGGAAATGACACAGCATTGTTTTCGTTGATTACAAAACCAGTGACTGACTGGTTCTACATATAAAACTGAAGAAAATAAGACCTTGGTTGTAGCTGTAGTAAAACTAATATGGTTGTTTTAAGTTATGTTATTTAATGTTAATAAATGGAACAATAGAAATAGCTAACGATAATGGTAAAGAAAAAAGAGATCGCGTATGTAAGTGCGCATGCGCACACGTGAAAACATATCGTCATTACTTTACATAAGAATATGAAAGCAACACTTATTTACTGTTCATATATATTTTAATTGATGTTTCTGAATTTGTTTTCATTGAATTAATGTTTGTGTGTGCAAAATTAACAATACAATTTATTAATAATACGTGGAATATTAGAGGAGACGAGACGGCTGCCGGCATTGTTTATGTTAAAGCTTACAAAACCAGTGACTGATTGGTTCTACATATAAAACTGAAGAAAATAAGACCCTGATTTTAGCTGTAGTAAAATTAATGTAAAAAAATTACTATGGTTGTTTAAAGTACCTGTAATGTTATTTAATGTTAATAAATGGAACAATATAAGTAGCTAACCATTAATGGTAAAAAAAAAAAGTGAGACTGCGCGTATGTAAGTGCGCACATGTGAAAACATATCGTCATTACTCTACATAAGAATATGAAAGCAACACTTATTTACTGCTCATATATATTGAAGGGTTAAATGTTGTACTCTGTATAGACAAGCAGAGAGAGAGAGAGAGAGAGCAGCCAAACTGCCGGATGTAAACAAACCTTAATTTCCCGCGGCTTTGTTTTTTTTTTAAGGGGATTAGCCCACCCGGGCATAGGTCACTGACCCACATTGGGGCCTGAGGAGCAAAAATTTAATACTCCTGTAATAATAATAATAATTCAGATAAGTTAAAAAAAATGCCTATCTCTGGACAAACCTCCGGACCACAGAATTGGACAAACTAAAATCGTTCCGGACCACAGAATGCCGGACTAGAGGGGTACAACCTATATCAAGAAGTTTATACTACAGTATTCAATAATTTTAAAAGTTTAATATTAAATTTTTTAGTCATTTTAACAATTATTGAACATAATTGAAGGTAAGGAAACTAGTTTCAAGCGTGCCATCCAGCCTGGCAACACACCAAACAGGCGCCAGTTTCTCTGTCTTTTCAGTGGAGGTAACATCTTGCTTGAGACTCTCTTCAACTAAACGCTTTTTTTTCTGTGTTTGCAAGCAAATTATTGGTCATTTAGAAATGTATTTTACATATTGACAATATATAATGCAGTGCAGTGTTGATTTAAAGAAAATAATCTTGAATTACACCAAGTGAACTAAAATTTTATGGGTGAAATGGCACCATGGGGTGACTTCTCTTCCACCCCAATGCCTTCTCTTCTCCCTTATCCTCCACCCCCATTCTAATTCCCATCATCATCATCATCAACCAGGAGCCTTCTACATACACACCTCAAAGTAAGTGTACTTTTCTACCTTTTTTTGTTGAATTTAGGCAATTTTCGGTGAGCTGTAACCAATTACCCAAAAACCCATTGAAACAATGGTTTCAGTTAACGAGTTTTTCGGTTAACGAGCAACCTGCTGGAACGGATTGTGCTCGTTAACCAAGGCACCACTGTATGGCACTGGATATGCAGAAAGACACTGTTGTTTCCATTTCTGTCCATACCTTTTGTTTGCTTCCCACCCAAGAATGTTACCAAGATTATAGGATATAGAATACATTCAGAGAACAGCAATGAATTTTGGAGGTTTCTTCTTATACCATACATCCTCTGAATTATAAATTATATTTTTAAGCCGCCTGTTTAATTATTGCATATTTTTTTTTTTCATTTGTTCCTAGCCTTTGAACTTTCAAGTTTTGCAGCCAGTGTAAGAATATGTAACCTGCATACAAAGTTCAACTTCAATCTTGTGCTAAAATATTTTCGAAATGAACAATACAGTACTGATATATATATACAGTACTATACTGTACTGTACCTTTCTACTGCACTATGTTCATCAGCTATACATCAACATAATGCCCAACCTAATAGGGTTGGCCTGCCAAAAAGCACTGTACAGTACAGCACAGTACATTTCCATGAAACTGGCAGGCATTGTCCAGAGGTGCTTGGTCTCTCACAGGTTACTTCAGGAAGGCTCAATCAGTTTTAAATTACAGTATCAATTAAATCAGCAAATGGTACTTTGCTAAGTTCTGTTACATTCTTCTTCCAATTTTGATGGAGCAGCTACCAAACCTAATCTTTCTCTTAACAGTCACTGCATCTTAGTCACATGTAATATATGCTGTATATCCATCTTAGTTGTTTGCTCTAATACTGTACAGTAATATCTCCGTTAGCCAGAACAATTGGTGCAGAGCACTTCCGGGAATGAGTGATTTACGGGTAACGAGACGACTCTCTCAAAACCGCAAAAAATCCGTCATCCCCAGAGATTTCCAGGTAACGATAAAATGTTCTTGGAAGTTCCAGAAATTCCCCATTATATCACCTCTCGAACCTGTAAAAATATCCCCCCTCCCCGGAATTTTCAGAGTACCGGAAAATTTTTCTCTGAATTTCCAGAAAATGCGCCCGATTTTTATCTCTCAAATCTGGAAAAAAATTCCCCCATCTCTGAAATTTTCTGGATATCAGCAAAATTTTCTATGAATTTTCCGAGAAAATTTCAATTCCGGCTATCGGAGAGTTCCGGGTTTGAGGGATTCCAGCTAACAGAGATATTACTGTAGTTTCTACCTTAAGACAAGCAGTGATTCTAGGTTAAGTTAATTAATGATAATGCTTTTAATTACTTAATTGCTTCATACTGTGTATAGAGTACTGTATAGTACTAGTACAATATACAGCTACAGTACTCCTCGACTTACGACATACTCGACCTACGACCACCCGGACATACGACCACCTCAGTCGTACCAAAATTTTGTCAAATTACTATTTTTGAGTCCCAACGTTAGTGATTGCGCTGTGTACTGACAAAATTTTCGTTTTGTGGTGCTGAGAAGAAAAAGAGACACCCATTTTAGATTTTCTATGTATTATTTAAGCATTTTCGACTTACGACCAATTCCACTTACTACCTGGATTTGGGTCCCTAACCCCGTCGTAATTCGAGGAGCAGCTGCACTGGACTCTTCTCTAAATGCTTACAAACACTAACATATTTTGCACTCTACAATACCTTAGATATAGCACTTTTCTTGGTGGATTTAACAACTATCTTCTTCCTTTCAGCCATTATTATAAAGGATAAATATCATCTGGCTCCCACGGGTCAAATTCCAAGTCCTAGAAAGATACAGAAAATTACCAATTATTAGAATTAAATTTTACAAGTAATATTTATTCGTACGTGTACAGTACAGGTATAGCATATTAATACAAACAAGATACAATTACAGTACAGTAATCCCTCGCCAACCGCGGGGGTAGGGTTCCTGAAAAACCCTGTACGGTAGTTTGCAAATCTGAGGTTGGCAATAATTAAGGGAAATACGGGGTTAGGTTCCATACCCAAGGATAACACTCGTCAAAGTCTAACTAAGTTGCCTGTTCCTTCACTAAATACTGTACCTGTACTATACTGTATTCTATCTACATTTAATCAAATTTTAGTCAAAAACATATAAAATAGCTTAATATAAATTAAATAGTAATATAAATTTTATAATATATACTGTACAGTACATCTCCGTGGAGAATGCATGTTGCCATAAAATAAGAAAAATGCCAAGATAGCCTGTAGCTACATCCCCCTCGCTCTCCCACTACCATGCCAAGCTGTGTTATTGTTATTTTTGCAACTCATATTTTCGGGTAGATATACTGTACATAATTTTCATTTTTTTATTCACTTTTACATGCACACACAAACACTCATACAAAATGGATGAAGAAAAAAATAATAGAAATAATTATCATAAGGTCAAAAACATAAAGAGAATGAACATTTCTTATGTCTACATGAGTTAGTGTCAGATCATGGGAGAGGAAGGGGGCAGCGGAAGGTGTGTGTGGTGTCGGGGTTCTCAGCCTCTCCGTACCAGGCCAGGCTGTGAACTGCGTATTGTTATTTTTCAGCTTGTAGTTTCGGGTAGATATAGTAATATCTCCGTTAGCCGGAATCCTTCTTAACAGGAACTCTCCAATAGCTGGAATTTAAATTTTTCAAGTTTGGGAACAATTTTCCAAGTTTATAGATCCTTTCATGCGATACTTTAGTGTATGAATCTTAAGGACACCCAAGTTAGGAATTTTATTTTTGCAATCAATAGTTTAGACAATTCGAAGTCACTTCTTTCTATATAATTTCCCTTGCAAATTACCTGACCTAACCTCCTAACTAGGGCTACAGCATATAATAATCGTGTACAAGGGAAACGTCATACAACAAAAGTGGGTAATGTTTCAGAACACCACTACCACCAGAAAGCGTTGTTCGATTTTGTTCATTTTTTCCACAGATGTTTTTATCATTATAGTAAGTATTTTAAAAGAGGAGTTATTTACTAAAAGCTCATAAAAGCTGACCTAACCAATCAAAGAAAACTAACTAACCTTACCTAACTTCCTAGTCGGGAGGCAGACCCCCGCCATAATAAACACAAAGTACACTTATTTTGATATGTGATTAAATGAAAGCAACTTTCTTGAAATGTCATGATGTAAACCAACTGAACAGATGACAACACGCGCTGAATCGTCAGATTTTTGGGAGGTGTACCGGTATGAACGGTGTCGTATGATCAGTTTTTTATCGTGTTTTACCCTGAAATCTCGCTCATCATCATGCCCGGTCTACTGTAGGTGATTTATTATTGTAGATAGAGAAAACTAAAAACGTAAATAAAAACCCCACATTTTCGCTCTACTTCAAAGGGGAGCCACGAATTACCCAAAAGTACCCAAAAGTATAGCAAATACGGGTAAAATCTTAACAAATATCTGTTATACATACACAAAACATGTTTAATAATATTTTTTGTGTAATTTGGTAAAAATAATTTGTAAGATGAAATAATAAACAGCGAAAAACTTTCAGTATTGGCGAACACTAAATTCCAAAGAGTTCGTGAACAAGGGAGATAACTCAGATCCATCGTGATGCACTTCGCTAACCTAACCTAACCTAACCTAACGAAAGTAAATCCTACGGCTATGTTAAATACCCCAAAGTAACAGAAACATTGGTAACTATATCTCCATTTTGGATAGGTGACTCTTTGGAAGTTAGCGTTTTTCGCTGTTTATTATGTCATTATTTTGACTACATTTCAATGAAAACATTATTAATCAGGTTTTATTGATGTAAAACATATATTCGTTAAGATTTTACCATGATTTAATATACTTTTGGGTACTTTTGGGTAATTCATTGGACCGACTTCAAAGCCCTGCCCACTTTCAACAACTAATAATGTGGGAAATTTTATTGGTTAAAATACTCAAAAAATTTAAATTTCCGACGGAAACTTTATAAATTATTTTTAGTTTTTCTCTTTCACCCTATAGAAGACTCAATATATAAGTTGATGCTTGCAACTTCAAAATATTAACTGTCTCCTCTTTCAAAAAATACTTACTACTGCACAATATAATATGTGGAAAAAATGATCGAAATCGAACAACTCAGAAATTACCAAGAAAGTGTCTTAGAATTGTCGATAATACATATATTAAAGATAAAATTCCTAAGATTCCTGTACAGTCTGAAAGAAAAATAATACCTCATATTTTACATACACAGTGACCAAAGCCTTTCTTCACAAGCACTTAAAGTTGAGGAAGTATGTGTATAGTCACAAAACAAATTCACATATCCTAACTTACCTAGAACATAACATTGTGAAATATAATTGGCAGTGGATATTTTACCGTGACCAGCTAAGTTAAGTTAGGTTAGGTTAGGTTAGGTTAGGTTAGGTTAGGTCAATTTTGGTTTGGATTTTTTGGTCTGTCATCATCAAATCTTGCCACAGACAGTAAATCCTTATCGTTTCTTTTCAGGACACAGAACAAATATCATGTTTACAATAGTTAAAGACAACAGAATATCTTACCTGTTAGTGTTGAAGGAAATGTTGTTAGAGAGTAACAGTAACTTTCACTCAAAAAACTGTTCATAAGGATAATAAACACATAACTTAACAACACAGTCACTTAAAACACTATAGTTTACATAATACAAAGTTTTGGATAGTTCACCTAGTTCATACTCCCGCACTGAACTTTGTGTACAGAATATATGAACAAAGGAATGTCACCATGCGGGACCACACGGAGAGCTTAATTTAAAGGGAAATGTCATTCTCTACTTCCCCCTTTTCACTCTAATATACTTGTAGTTTCATTTAGTAAGTTGCCGACTATGTATAATTAATCACCGTTTTCACCAATTTACTCGGTATTATTACACAACAATAATAATAATAATAGTAATAATAATAATAATAATACGAATAAGAATAGTAATAAAAAGAAACAAAAATAAATACTGTACACTTTAGTTTAGTTTAACAAATTTATTGACAAAGCTTGGAGTACAATTTGCCTATTTTTTTATTTTATTTTTTTATTTGGCACCCCCCTACTTCTTGTGCAAGGTGAAGCACTTACAATGCCCAACTGGGAAGCATGCAAAGTTCATGCATGCCTTTATGTCTCATGAGTTAAGGGCGTAGAAGCCTGAAGGGTCATAGGTTTTTGTCAGTAAGTTATTGGAAGCTCCAAATTCACTCCACCAACAACTTTCCCTGAATACGAATTGGCAACTTTTCGATTTACAACAGGTACCTACATTACATTGCTGCTCGGTGAACAGGGACCAAATGCGGGCTAGGAATCACAAAACTCAGATGTAATTGCTTTTAAATGTGTGAGAATACAAATACAATAACTGTTCTCTCATATGACAATGTAATATACTGCATAGATGCCTCTCATAATGATATAAATTATCTAACTATAAACAATTACATTAGTAATAAATATTACAAATTATCCTAATTGCTTTTATTTTACCACTTGTTCAAATCATATATAACTAATCCTACCTTCAAGTAGTTGTCTTTCAGTACTTGGTTGATAGCTTGACATGTCTCAGGAATGATTGCACTCACACTTTGTTTAGAAATCCGTGTGGAATATTGCAAACTTGTATAGGAACATCCAGTTGCTGGATGCCGAAGAGTAGCTTCGAGACGTGTTCCTGTCGAAATACTCTGAATCTAGTATCCTGTCTCTCTATTAGCGGTTTTACCTTTCAAGAAGAGAAAAAAGCAGTTGTGGCATTCTGGTATAATTTTGAAAATCTCCTTCACTTTCTATTGCAAGTTCATTATATATGGCTTAAAACTTCCCTTGGAGCGCCTCATCATTAACCACTGTTTGTACCTCAATGTTTGTTTCTTAACTCTTCTCCTCTTTATCTTACAAGCAATCACCACACTCCATAAAGCAGCTTTTACCAACGACCCCTGACGGAGACACTATGATCCTCCCCATACTGGCCAGATACTATGTAAATAACATTGATTATGTGTTAAAGGAATATCCTTCCTTCCTTAGGCTTTAGTAAGCCCCTTTATGATATTTATGCTGTATATACTTGTCACACTTGCCAGATGCTTCTGGTGTTATTGTACAGGGGTACCTAGTGACAGCACTAGGATCCCGCTTCCTCTATCAAGGAATAAACAATTGAAAAAATTGAAGCAGCTTTCGTTCCGCGCGAGGCTGGAGCCATTGCTCGCAACACTGTCGTCACAACAAATGATAGTTGCTGCGGTGTGTACAACTCACCTGGCAAGCCTGACCCACAGACTTCTCGTGTCGGACGGCATGTCGACAAGTGTTTAAAGTACTAGGCTTTATGGTTCATGTTATCCACACCCTTATTGTGACGTTGAGAGTTGGGGTGTAATGAATAAGACTCTGTACACAGTGTGGTGTATCGACAGTGTCTAATGGGTAGTTATGCATGCAAAACCTAATTTCATCTTACATAAGTTCAATAGTGCAGTTGTACATAGGAGTCAAGGACAAAATTGGATTACCATATACAGGTTTTTAAATATTTCTATCTCTTATGGGTCTGTATTGAACAGAAACAATAAGTTATAAAACATCTTTGATAGTCGAGAGTAAGTAGTTGAGGAGATTACCAGCTCATGAAAGACAAACTAAAGAGAATTAACTGGGGGGGTGCTAAATAGGGGGAATGCATACCCCAGAAAACAAAGAGAAGAGGGAATAAGACCAGGTGGATGAATCACAGATCTAGGAGAGCTAGCAAGAGAAAATATCAGATGTAGAAGGAATACCGGAGCAAAGGGCATCATGCAGATTAAGTAGTACAGGTATACAAAACAGCCCTAAATGTGGTCAGTCAGGAAATCAGATCAGTCATACAGCAATTCAAGATGGAAGTAGCTCAAAATATTAAGAAAGATCCCAAGTCTTTTTATGCGTGTGCCAGAAGTACCCAAGAGAATCTACACCTCAGAGGTGGGAAATGAGTTAAGACAGATAGCAATTACAGACAATATCATCAAAAGGAAAATAGTGTAGCTTGAAGGAATTCAAAGCTCCAAAAGTGGATGGAGCACAGACCAATGTGATAAAGAAGGTAAAAAAGGAGATTTTTACCATACTAAGACTCTTATTCAGGATATCCTTGGATCAAGGTAAGGCGCCTGGGTACTGGAAATTAGCAAAGGTTACCCGAGTATACAAGAAGGGTACGAAAGGTGCAACAGACAACTGCAGGCCGATCAGTGGATCAGCTTACCAACGCAAGTATGCAAACTCTGAGAGAATTCTGGGGGACACAATCATCCAACACCTGACCAAACAGTTTTAACAATACATCACAACACAGTTTCATGGGAACAAAAATCCTGTCTGACAAACTTACACATGTACTGGCGAAGAAGATAAAAGTAAAAGTATTAGTTTTGTTTGAAGCAGATGTGTTGAAAAAGATATTGTTATACTGCTCACTCAGTGTTTATATTGTAATCATCAAAGGCAGTCAGGTTGCCAAGATACAGTGTACTGTATTGTGTGTTTTAATGTTAAATGCCAAATAAGATTTAGATTAGTTTACTGCAAACTCCAATGGGTGTTTTACTTATTTTATTTGCTAGAACTGTATTTTTAAGCATATCGTATTATTTTTAGCCCACTAAGTAAAGCGTGTTTGGTTGAAAGTATATGGCGAGGCAAGGAAGGAGTCGGCAGCAATGTTCCTTTTTTTGGAGCAACGATGATTACCAAAATAACGTTAATATTTCCCTGATAAAGAACTTACTAGATATGATGATCTTATCCCATGCCCAATTTGGGAAACAACCAACAGAAAATCATCTATGGCAACCTGGACCAAGGTGACTCAACCTACTGTATATGTACTACGATCATTAATGGTTTATCATCTTACACAGCCGGGTGGATCAGTTGCGTTCCATATACATTTTTAATTTATAGGCGACACAAATGAAAGATACCTCAGTGTTCAGACCATAAACATGTTCTGTACACATACTCACTTATACATAAACCTACCCACAAGTACACACCAGACACAGTACAGGTGGTTATCACTTAAGCAACACACTGCAGCACTCTGGTTGGTTCGTTACATACTGAAGTACGTTACAGGTTAAGGACTAAACAATTGTGTTGACAAAAGTTTTACTGTACAATATTTACATAGACTAGTGTACAACAAACACTGTGAAAAAATATATTCTGACTGGATGCAGCTTCACTGTCAAATAATAAGAATATGGTTCTTGATTCTCTGATCAGAACTTGTTTCTGCCTTATATATATATATATTTTATAAAATACAGTACGTACAGTACATAAATAATATGTATCAAATATTAATATCTACATCAATGGTGTATAAAATTTATGTTTCATTCCAAATCCGTATTTTAAACAATCACAATTTTACTGATAAGAACTGAATAAGCACATTAAACATATTATCAGATAACTAATACTGAATAATCATTCACTATCACTAGGTTCCTCAATGACAGTCATACACTGTACATTATGGAAATGTTTTGCCATTATTTACGAGATTTTTTTCAAAGTTACGCATTTTCTATATTTCCACTTCACACTGTCCTAGTGTCAGAAATATCATTCCGCAGAATTTTATCTTCTTGTGACTGCAATGTCTCCTTCATTATAAGCCATCCATCCTTGTGGTAAGCCTTCCTGGGCCCCCAGCCAGTCTTTGCAACAAACACAGCTTTCATTTTCTGTACAAGAAACAATACAGGTGCATAAAAATTTAGCCTCACTGAAGTTGGTTTAATACAGCTTGATGTTATGTTTGATATCTCATAATTTATCTATAAAGTTTAAAATATCCACACACACATTTGCATTCTAAAACAGTTATCTACCATTGTTCACTAAGCTTTTGTGTTATAACTGCTTTTGATTAGGTCTATTCCTCCACTTTGTATCTGGAAGTGCCTTACAACATTAGTCTTTCCTATGTTTTCACAGGTAAGTAAAAATTTCATGTTAGGAATGTGAAAAATGCACTAATGTATATCAGACTGGGATTTTTATCACTAGTTTCAATATACAATACAGAACTTTCATAACTATAACATGTATTATCTAGAAATATGAAATTTCATGAACTTTCTGGGCAATAAACAGACACATTTTCCATAAGTTAACAATGATATAGTGAATGTTGAGAATATAGTGTTATTATGGTATCTTATACAGTACGTGGCACACTGTTAAATGTTCAGGTTCTGTCCTTCTCTAGTGGGATGTACAATGAAAGACAAAAGTGGTGTCGTGAAATTTGGTGAAAACATATACTGAAGGGCTAAACTTTTGGTGGGCTCTGCCTTGTGGTAGGGGGCTCTCATAATGTTTTACGAGTTATATTTAATCTTCGGACAAAACCGCGACACGACTTTTGTGTTTGATTGTACAATGAATAAATTTAAACACCTTCATATCATTTAGATAAGATTGAGTCATAATTAATTGTACCTACATCACTTTAATTGTAAATTATAAAGCAAGCTCTATTCATTGGGTATATTATAATTATGTACTGTAAGTGATTGTTATCTGATGTAACCCAAACTGCTGCTTCTAAGAGTTAATGTGCAACTGTTGTCCACAAAAATAAATCGTTTTCATTCTATACAGTACTTCAGTCTTCAGTTATTTTCTCTAAACCCTGATACTTCTACATTATTCTCAGGTCAATACTTCAATTTTCCCTGCAGCAAGACACCAATATAAAAATTCAATCAGTCAAGTTAACTGTATAATGAATAATAACTGACCTCAGAGAAAGTCTCTCCATCAGTGATATAAACAGCTTGACAGAACCAGACGGGCACCATGACAAGCGCCACTCCAGATAGAATCCATCCACACGCTGTTGAAGATAATCATATTAGAAACACCGACCGACCAGCCATTCTCTTAATTGCCATATTTTCTGCTCTGTATATTTAAATATCAATCACTTAAAAAAATAATGCTATGATCACTCTGACAAAATTATAAAAAATATTGTTTTTTGTTATATTCAGGCACACTTAGGAACCATCAATCCAAAGTATGAAATACAATACAGTACAGAATATGATTGAATCTCAAAGTCAAGACATCAACTCTTGTAAGTGTTATGACTCACTGTAAGCTATCTGGGGATACTCCTGCCCTTCAAAGGTGGGAAGCTGAAGGTCAGTGAGGATATAGATGAGGATGGCAGCGAGACTGAAGGGGATGAAAAAGGACCAGCAAAACCTCCAGTATATGCCTAAGTCCTTACCTAGCATAAACTTAACATCATGCAAGAAGTTGTTGACACCTGAGAGAAGTTAGAGGGGCAAGAAATTGAATAAACATATCACAGGAGGAGCCGCAAAACTCATACTACAGTACAGTACAGTATCTTCAATTACATTTTGTTAATAAAGAAAGAGATTACATGAAGATATGGCAGACTAACAAGTATTTAGAGTACAGTACAGTGAAAATGCTTCTCACCATAGATATAGTGGACTGCTATAGTTTCTATGATTACAAGAACATAGATGACAAAGCCGCCACCAAAGTAATCCACCAGGTCCAAGATCCACTGGCCACCCTGAGGAAATGAGGATAAAAATGTTGACCGCAAGATGTAAACAGTACAAAATATGTACAGGTAACAAGGTTTTTAGGTACATGAATCACCTCTTTCAACACCAGTCTTGACTTACCGGGGGACCTCTCCTTTGAGCAGCTTGTATTGACACAGCATATCACCACTCATGGTAACTCTTGTTAGATGTAAATTACAGTAAGTGATGCTCTTTAAATCAGTTTTAAAAGCCTCAGCATAATATCTAAGACAAAAGTACTACAGTATAGGTGCACACAGTACTGTATCACAAAAAAAAACCAAGACTAAGGCCAACCAATGACTGAAGTTACAAATTACTCACTGGTGTCACGTAGACAAGGCCAACCAGGAAACTAATGATGCAAATTCCAAGAGTGACATAGGCTTTTCTCCAGGAAGGAAACTGGTCACAGATGATGGTAATGATGTTGCCAGTGAGTGCTGATGCCGTTCCTAGACCCAACGTAAACATCATCAAGAAGAATAATACTGCAAACACCTGTCACACAGGTAATGATTCATATTAGTATTGTTAACTTTTTATCTGTTAAATCAAAGTGATGCTTATAGGTGAAGAATATATAGCAATGGTCTTTCTTTCATAACTACCGGGTAAGAACTTCTCACCTGTGGGGCCCAGTCAAATTTGCCGAGAGCTTCAGGATACGAGATAAAGGCGAGGCCAGAACCACCCCTTACCACATCCTTAACATCAGTACCCAGCTCATGAGCAAGGCTACCCAAGATGCTGAAAATGGTCACCCCTGCCAGCATTGACGTGAGGGTGTCAACCAAGCTGATGATCCACGCATCCCTGATAAACAAAGGATTTGTAAAAAAATATAAATAAAAAAATACTTTCAGTATATCACTGAAACTTTATTTTTCAAGAGAAAAGAACTATATTACTATATTTCCATTTAATGAAGACAATATATATCATTAACATAATACAGTACAGTATGATGAACTATATACTAATTCTCAATATTACCTTTGCATTACTTAAAATAAGTACAGTACAACTCACTTTTAAAATAATTTGTACAATATCTCATGAAAATAACGAACTAGATCATAATATACTGTAGAATCTGCAAAAAATCCGAGGAGGTAAAAATATATTCTCACCTGTAGATGTTGTGTTTGAAGTCATTGTAAGATGAAAAGGTGATAACGGAGCCAAAGCCGACTGAAAGACTGAAGAAGGACTGAGTCACCGCTGCATACCACACCTGTACACCAAACCATAACAGGGAAGGTAATTACAGTCAATAATCAAAACCAACCTCAGATGCATTAACCAGGGTAATGAGGTGATAATCAATTGAAATTCTTTGCAATCGAGACAAACTCAGTTAGTCTTAACAGAAAAATAAATACAAATTGACGAGGAAGTTAGTTAAAAGCACATGATGGCATTAGCACACTGTCATGTAACCTAAAAAAAGTCTACTGAAAGTGCAAGAACAAGATATATTAACTCACTGTTACTCACGTTAGGGTCAAGGAGCTTTCTCCACTGAGGTTTTATGAAGTACAAGACACCAGCAGCAGCACCTGGGAGTGATGCCCCACGGGCGAGCAGCGTCAACAGCACCAGGTAGGGGAAGAGTGCCGTAAAGTATGCCACCTGCCACCCAAAAAACCCAACTAAAGTCAATAACCTTACGATTGTATACATATATATATATATAGTCAATGTATTATTCAAAAGTGGTTCATGTAATTATCTATATATAAAAATGGTGTATTTTACCAAAGCAAAAGCAATTATGAACTGACCTTGCCTGATGACTGGACACCTCTGATGAGGGTGACGAAGAGGATGCTCCAGGACAGTAGCAAACACAGTGCCTGTCGCCAGTCTGGCACACCAATCCCTTCATCGATGTTGTCTGTGCGGTGTAACACATAGTTACTGCAGTACATAATAAAGGATTAGGGGAGGGTGTGGTTAAGACGAAGAGTGTTGATAACAAGAAAGAAGGGTGTGTAGTGATGTGAAGGAATAGGACTGATGCCAAGTTGAGGAGGTATTGATAAGACAGTAAACTGACAACACTTGTCGAACATTATGGAAACACACTGTTGTCTGTGAGTGAAACAAGGGAACACACTATTATAATCACTAACATAGTGCAGGTTGGTTGTGCTTTAAAGGAAAAAGCTGCTGATGAACACAAGACAAATCATGGTTGATGGAGGCTATATGAGAGGGTAGGGGTGTATAAAGCCACCTCTTGTGGGTGGCAATTAGGTAATTAAAGATGTTGATTAAGTTACAGTTATTGCTATCAGAAGAGTCAAAATTAACAAATGGATTATTGTGTTATAACACAAGGTAGCTTTTCCAATGATCATATAATATATGATCATTGGAAAAGTGTTTCTGAGTGTTTCACATTATGTGAAGCATCTCCACAACACCTACAGGAAATATTGTTCAGAAGAAGACTGAGATTCGTTGGTGAAGGTTCGGTTAGAGGCGGCATCAACACAGTTGAGGTCAGCCCAGGCAGGGTCACAGTAGGTCCAGGGAAGCACCGCACTGAATGACTGGGTTAGGTAGAATACTGTCAGTGCCATCAATGAGCAATAGTAAGTGACAACAGACCACGTAGCAACCATCTGGCCATATCCAAGACCTATTAATATAAACACGTCATTACATCTCAGCTAAATTGTTTAAACAAAATAGGACTAACAGATGAAGAGCTGCTTATACTGTACAGACATATAGCCCTCATCCAAAACAAAACTAAGCAGTATTGTTTGTAAAGATCAAGCTGTATAATACTGTGCTTCATTATTGCCATTATATGGGTGAGTCATGAAACTGGCAGTTGGTAAAACAAGTACAGTAAGTGTCATATTAGAATCTTAATAAATTACTACTGAGATTGATACTGTACTCCTATTTAGGTATAATACGCAGAACACAGCACCTTTTACCGCTGGCACCATCTTCCACACCTTCACGCTGCCGGACGAAGAGAACTGACCCAACGCCAACTCCATAAAATACAGCGGCTGTGTTGGGACAAGTTTATCATTATTATATAGTGAAATAAAAAGTTTTACTCAATTGTTTCGTATGTTTTAAAGTTTATCTTTAAATAGAGTTCATCATTCTTAAGCTCGATTCTGCAGCACCAACTCTCAAAAAACACTTTCATAAAACGCCAACATTATAAATCAAATATATTTTCATATGTTAATAATAGTGACTTTGCAACAAGTGAAGTCCCTTGTTACCTCCCATTTCCTAAACGACATATCACCTCCCAGTCCCTTTACCTGAAGCACAATAACCGAGTCTTCCTACATGACTTACCCTGCCAATGAAGATAAGAACAACTAGGTAGGGGATGAGGAAAGCACCGCCACCATTCTCATAGGCGGTCATTGGGAATCTCCAGACATTCCCTAGACCCACTGACATGGAGATGCAAGAGAGCAAGAACTCTATGGGGCGTGACCACTGTTGTCGCTCATTCTCTGACGTTTCCTGATCCAGAGAGAAAGTGCTATTAACTTTAGGCTACAGGATCAAAATTAATAGGTATAGAAAATAATCATATAATAGCTACAGTATATAGAAATACAAAGTGGTGTACCAGTGACTTGTGTTCCACCTACACTTACATCAGTCTTGTGAGCTACCAGCCGTGTCTTGCTGTTCCGGCTGACATCGTCATCTTCCCCAGGCTCAGGTTTGATGTGGTAGGGGTCAGTTATTTTCAAGATATGGTCTGGATCTGACACCTGTGGATGACGCTGCATGTGGTTGTGAAGAGGTTCATTGTAGACAAAGGTGTCATCCTTGGACTGGTGAAAGTTGTCATGAACATGGATATCATTCAGTGGTAAGGGAAACATATAGCCTGTTACCCTCTGGTGTTGTGGTAGTTGCTTGAATTTTCTGCTGTGCTAATCGGTTTGGTGTTTCCTCCTAGTTGAATGTTATGGCTATCGTCGAGAATACTCTCTGTCACTTACTGTAGGTTAATGTTACCACAATATTTTACTCACATGAATATAATCTTATATCACTTCGGATTATAGAAAATCTTGAGAATATATTCGTGGGTTTGGTTGTAAGGCTGCAACTGCTGAGGTGTGTTTCCACCCGAGTCTTCGAATGTTCTGCGAGTTAACACACAGAAGCTCTCTTTTATAGAAATAACCTTCCTCACTTCCGGTATTTTAAGCACCACGTAGACAGTTGCATAAGGTAAGCATGTTTCTATTATCTACAGGATGAGTTATCACTCTTTATCGCTTATCAGGGGTTCCCAATGACGTAAAACATCCTCGTAACCACTTGAAAAAAGTGGCTTTATTCAAATCAATCCACCTAATACAAGAGGAAATATTTTTTTTATTATATAACCAGGAAATGTGTCAAAAGTATTTAACTAGTGAGCATTGTAATGCTCATTATGCTTCTTCCTGTTTACTTTACCATTATAGTATCAAGCTGTGTGTGTGTTACTATTCTACTTGAGATAAAGTGAACATACATTAAAATTACTACCAAGTAAGAGATAACATAATCAGACAGATTGGTGGAGATTTCCACTGGGGATTAGGCAACCACAATGAAATCATAGGGAGAAATAACACTAGTCCACCGTCTCTGTGGAAAGTTACAGTGGTGTCACACCTTAAGAAGGCTTAAGAAAACAAAGATATGTTGTGGAAATCTACTGGAATATTGGAGAATGTTTTTAATTTGCTTGGCAATATTTATTGTATCAAAATTCTGTTTTATGTAGGTCCCATATGTAAGGGAGGGGGGGGGGAGGGGTTAAGCATGTAGTGTTTTTTTCCAATAACTGATGAATATGTGTAAGATGTTTTCTTTTATAAATGTTATTTATATTTATTTTCTATTACTATCACTTATTTAACTTTCTTCAATTTTCTTGGTTATGTTCTCTAAGTTATTTTCTGTTTTTCTTCCAATGTTTTTATTTCTTTTTCAATATTCTTTATTTTTCTTTTCTACTAAGTATTTCTCAGTAATTAATTTAGTTTTGTTTTGCATTTCCTCATAATTTTATTCTCAGCTGTGATTTGTTATATTATGTTCAATGGATTAACCCGGGAAAACCATATCATTCTTCAACAAAACCTTTCTTATAACTATTATACTTACACTGTAAACTGCCACCACCACCCAGGCTTTTATTTAGAATATAACTTCTATCATTAAAGTTTTAGGTAGCGTGGGAGACGTGCATAGGCACGTGGGTCAGTGTTTATTTTCTGAGAATCAATTGTTAGAAGGAAAGGAGCGGTGATACTCACAATCGACCAGACCAATATTTATTAAAATCAAATGTGAATGGTATGATAATTTGTACCCTTATCCACAACATAGGTTCGATCACTGATAACTTTTCTGTAACTAGTGAGACAAAACGGACCACTAGTTTTCCCTGTATTAGTAACAAAAATAGAACTTCAGTTAACAGTCGGGAAAGAAATCCTTGTTAAGACTGAGGAAGTAGCCGATAGCATGGAGGTGGTAGTGAAAAGGAGTTATGCTCAGGCCTTAGCAGGGCCACGGAAGGTGGCGGAGATTAATGCAGGCTCCGAACAAGTTCTACAGCAGCTAGGGACTCTGAAGAAATGTGTCGAAGAGATGGCAACTAGCAGATCTACTGTTAGGAAAGAGGAGGAACAACGGGAACGTTTCGAGCTCAGGAACATTGTAATAGTTTATGGAGTCCCTGAGAGCCAGTCGGAGGAAGCTGAGAGTAGGAAAGCACACGATAAGTTGCAGTTTGAGAATATTTGTACAGAGGTTCTGAATATGCCATCCCCCTTTCAGGATGTGAGGAGGCTGGGACAAAAGCAGGAGGACAAAGCCTCGTCCCCTCAGGAACACACTAGCGAGTGAGAAGAAAAAATGGGAAGTTATTCGGCAGGCAAAAAACTTAGCAAGGAGCGAGGCATTTCGGAATGTTTTCATTCACCCAGATTGCACGGTAATGCAGAGGGAACAGCACAGGAAGCTCCTGCAGGGGTTTAAGCAGAGGAGGGAGGCGTCGAGGAAAAACGGGGATGGGTGTAGATGGGTTATATCCAGGGGTAGGGTAGTGGAAGCAAGAGCGCCAACACAAGAGCCAGGGGGCAGCAATACACCCTCCACCCACTCTACCTCCCACCCAGTAGCAGGCGAACGCCGTAAAAACAATGGCATTTCTAACCACACCCTGCAAAATACAGTGCATTTAACAAATGCTGCAGCTGCTGAGAATGGACGGGGGCTGGGGTTACTATCAAGAGCAGAGACGTTACCGAGAACAAATTCCGGCTTGAATGTCATGTACACTAATACTGACACGCTCCTTGATAAGAGAGAGAAGTTTGAAACATATCAACCCGATATAGTCGGAGTTGTAGAACTGCTGTACAAGAACAGGAGAATCGACCCAGAGGAATGGGAGTTCAGTATTGACGGACATGACTTATTTTCCAACCTTTCTCAAGAAACTTGCAAGAGGGGTGTGGTTATCTATGGTAGGCAAGACCTTAGAGCCAGCCAGGTGAGGGTACAGGGAGAGGATGTTTTTAAAGAATCCAAGTGGTGTAAAATTAAATTACAGTGAGGAGAATTACTTATTGTCGGGTGTATCTGAGGATCCTATTTACGTCTGTGAACGATTAGTGAACATAGCTACCGCTGGTATCAGATGAAAATATAATAGAACAATGAGGGAGGAACATGTAAGATTATATTGTTGGGTGTCATTATAAAGTAAGCCAAGTATTGGTGGATGTTGAATGGTGTACCTAATTGAAAAGTACAAAATGAGTGAAATCAGGGAGGAGATCCTTGTACTGTACTATGTGTTATTGGAAGTAGTCGTAAGTCTAACTTCATTTTGATAAACAATCTTTATTTTATGTCGGGGATATCATTATCCCTTCAGTATTTCACCTATTTTTCACCCCCTATCTAGGTACCAGTACAGTAATTACAGTAAACCCCCGTGTCCTAACCCTCGAGCCAAGCTACCACAGATAAGAGGTTATGGGTAATCTATGAGAAGAAAATTAACCAAGAAATAGCTAACATCAGAAATTATAAAGTAAGAAATTAAGACAAAAAAGTAGAGAATTAAAAAATTAAAATAATAATAATAAATCACCCTCACCCCACTATAGAACCACTTATCCCAAGGAGTGGAGCAGAGCATTTTAACCAATCAGGTGCTGCATCACGACAAGGAGCAAATGGATTTGTTGGATTTCAAAGAGCAGTCTGTGTACCATACCTAAAGTTAGCTGATAAACAAGGGATTGTGGGAAGAAAGCGTATTTTTCCAAACCCTTCCACAACTTTAGCTGATGTTCGATAAGATGATAGAGGTCATACAGTTGCAAAACAGCAGAAACAGAGATGTTGGCAAAATAAATCGTGCACCAAAAAATTTAAGAGCTTATTGTACAAAATGTAACTTAACACTGTATTGAAAGTTTTGGCGCCTACCTTCGAAAATATTGAGGGAAATCTGCTTCAGAGGCTTGAAACCTAAATAGAATCTCTTTTGTGTATGTTCTTTTAGTATAATCTTAATGCTGTCATTTGATGACAGCTTATTTTCAGTTACATTAGATTTCCTTTCCTCTCTCCCTTTCTGGACCAACATCTCCCACCATCCCTAGTTCAACACCCCCTCCCTCCCTAGTTCAACACCCCCTCCCTCCCTCCCTAGTTCAACACCCCCTCCCTCCCTAGTTCAACACCCCCTCCCTCCCTAGTTCAACACCCCCTCCCTCCCTAGTTCAACACCCCCTCCCTCACTGCTGCCCCTCTTAGAACATTACACCTCCTTCCTACACCAACAATACCTCCCTTTCTAACACCAACGATACTCTTCCTTCATACACCGACAATACCCTCCCATCTAACACGGACAACACTCCCGTTTCCTACATAAACAATACACTCCCTTCCCAAAATAACAATGGTCAATTTATCAGAGGCGTACCTAGTGGGTGGCAGAAGGGGGCAGCTGCCCTGGGCGCCAAGGTAAGGGGGGGGGGCCGCCAAATTGCTTTGAATTTTTAAAAAATATTCTTTTCAAAGGAAGATAACAAAAGGAAAGGAAAGAATTACTCTGGCAGAAAAGCTTGTACTACTGCTACACTGGATAGGTTAATATACTGTGCATTGTGTTATGATAATTAATACTGGATAAATAAACCTACTTTTTAGGATTAAGAGTAAAATTTGGTCAATCTGTCATCAGAATTGCCCAAGATTATTATTGAATCTGTTTACTTGGAGAGTAAAATAATTTTATAATGAGAAGTTAAACAATCCACTGGGTTATGGTATTTTCTCAACTGAATGTTGATTATGTGTGTTTTCAGCAGCAAACTGCTGATTACTTATAGATAATTATTCCAGTTCTTGAAGTTAACTTGTTCAAGTCTTGATACAACCATAAAATTATACATCATCATCAGTGTCTTAGCAATCCCTTATTTACTATCATGCTACATTATTTATATGAATTAAAATTTAGTAGATATAATTATTTGAGGCTGAAGTGGAGGGATAGTGGCGGTGGGGAGCCATAAACGGGGCAAATTCAGCCATTGCCCTGGGCGCCATGATGGCTGGTTACGGCCCTGCCATTTATGATCGTAGCCAGGTTTCGATTTTTCTATAAAAAATACGTTTTTCCGATGGTTCTTGTTGTAATTCGAATGAATCTGACCTTCGTTTCTGGTGCTAACTGCCCAAACCTAACCTAACCTGGCTACTATCCTAAAGTGACCATAACAAGACCCTCCCTTCCTTAAAGAATAATACCCTCCCTTTCTACACCATCAATACCTTCCTTTCCTACAGCGACAAGACCCTCCCTTATAACCCTAATCTCCCTTCCTTGATCAACAACACACCCGCTTCCAAGGTCGACAATACCCGCCCTTCCAACACCAACAATACCCTCCCTCCTTAAATTTCACACACACACACACACAAAGTTTACCTCAGCAAAAATTTAATCAATTTCACACTTTTTTTTTTGGCCATACTCTACTTCTATGAGGTCAGTTTCCCCGTGGCGACAGTGAAGCCTTATATGGTACTCGTGAACACCTACACCTGTGGACGGAACATTTGCTCGAA